TTTAATTGTTAATAAAGATAGATCCATAGCTATCATAATAGAGTTATTATTAAACCTTTTATTAAGTTCAGATAATACTTTATCAATAATCACAAATTATGTGTTTACTTTATAAGCCATCACAGGATCATTTATTTGTTCATCGTTAGACAATTCACCRGGCTGTTGTGGAACTCGTCTAAGTCTTCTTGTTGGTAAGGTCAGTTCAAATTCAAAATTATTGTCTTTGGCAAATTGTTTTACTGATTCATAAATATTGAAAAAACATGTCACTAGATCTCAAACATTTAATATTTTTTTCTGTTTTCTTTATTARTTCAATAGCCATTAGTATATCAATATTATGAGCTTATAAAGCTCTACTAACAGGTTCAATAAAATCAAATACTTTTTTTTAAATATGTGCTGTCAATAAAAAATTAAAAGACTGCAAAAAACAAAGTAACCYTGTACATTCTGCACCTGTTTTAAAATCAACCTGTCCTTCTAAACTTTTTATATCTTCTAAAGTTTCTAAAATGGAATCCAGTGTTTCAAGCACAGTTGTTAGAGCATAAGCTTGAGACATCCATCTTGTGGTTGCAACTTTTTTTAATGCCTTTACACGTGCATTTGGATATAATTTTTTTTGTTTTTCACGATACATGGAAATTCGCTTCTTACTACAACTGATAAAAGTAAAAAGTTTCTCCATATTTCCAAATAAATCAACAGATTTAGCACATGAACCAACTGCAGAAGTTATTATCAAATCAAGTCTATGRGCATGACACCAAACAAATATTACCTCTTTGATTTTAGTCTGTAGCCCGTTGTATTTACCTTGCATGCTGGCCGCTCCATCATAAGACTGTCCAACTAAAAAATTTTACCAATCCAAATTGAATGATTCAAATATTTGACAAAAAAAGATCAACAACAATATTAAGCAAAAAAAAGTCAATAGTTTCACATGACAGGCAAATTACTGTGAAGTATTGTCTTCAAATAGATAGGAAGTCAGAACAAATATGTAAAAAACTTTTTCAAAATACCTATGGCATAGGTAGGGGTAAAGTTGATGTTATGGTTCACAAAAAAAGAAGTTTTACAACCGGAATTTCTCCTAAATCTGGTAGAGGTTTGCATCAACCGCATAATTACAATGCAGAGTCCAGAGAAATAATATTAAATCATATTAAAAGTTTCCCGGCCTATGAAAGCCATTACTCGAGAAGACATACAAATTTATTCTATATATCCTCCTCATTAAATATACAGAAGATGTATGATTTGTACAAAGAGTATTATCATGAAAATAATATTAAWAACATTTCATCTTACTGGTTATACAGAACAATATTCTCTGAAACTGGCTTGAAATTTAAAGTTTCCTATATTGACACATGTAAGACATGTGATGAATTTAAAAGCAAATCAAAAAATGTTACTGGAAATGACCTACAAATTCTAACAAATAAAAATCAAGAACACCAAGATATGGTTGAGTATGCTTACAACTCTAAAGGTTAGATAAATTACGATTAGGTACCACACCAACATTAAAAGTTATAGTTTTTGATTTACAGCAATGTTTATCAACGCCAGATCTTAAAACAAATATTGTATTCTACAAGCGTCAGTTATGGACATACAACGAGACGATAAGAGATATTGGTCTTAATAAAAGTTTCTGTTACATGTGGCATGAGGCTATAGCTGGGCGTGGATCTAACGAAATTGCATCTATCTTATACAAATTTATTGAAGAAAATATTCAAAATACCATAACACATTTAATTACATATTCCGACACTTGCTCAGGTCAAAATCGCAACATGAATGTTGCATTGATGTTCATGTTTGCCATCCAAAAGCATCCATCACTACAAATTATTGATCAAAAGTTTTTAGTACCTGGACATACCCATCTTGAGTGTGATAGTGATCATGCTAGGATTGAGCGGTATGAAAAACAATCGGATTCAATTATTGCAATACCAATGGATTGGTACAACGTTGTAAGTAGTGTAAGAGGTAAAGTGCCATTAAAGGTAGTCGAAATGGAACAAGAACACTTCAAATTTTTTTCGACTTTCCTCTTCGGACCACTGGTAAAATGTAATGTTGATACACACAAAGAAAAGATAAACTGGCTTAAGATAAAATGGTTAAGATATGACAAACAATTTGGTATTATTCAATTTAAATACTCCTTAGATGAGGACACTCCATTTCGTTTATTGGATTTAAGGAAAGGTGCGATTAAAACAAGATTTAGGACTGAGTTAACTACTAATGGAGCATCTAATTTAAATTTGCCAAATACCTA